TGAATGAAACGATGGCCTTCAGAAATTGCATGCTTTGCAATATTAGAATTGTCAGCCTGTCGAAGGAGGACCGCAGCAAGGTCCTGTTTTGCACGGATGTTCAATTTCCGGTTGGTCTTTCCAATGTACACCTAGTCGCGGTCCCTGCACTGAACTTCTTAGACAACATTTTGCACACTTTCCGTGTTATTAATGGACATCTAATTTTTATATAAAATGTCGCCCAACGTTCTGCCAGTCCCTAACCCCCATCTCACTAATATATCTTGTCATACGTTGAGATACCTTGGGTAAACAGTAACATTACTACTGGTCCATATGAACTGGCCAACTTTACATTCGAGCTGTGGTGCAGAAGTTCTTCGTCAATAATCCTCCTTCGGTAGCCGTTCTTCCGGAATGCGTGGTGAATATGTTGGATTTCTACGCTTAGGCTCGAACTACCAGTGCAGGTCTCTTGGGCTTGCAAACGCATGTTCTTCACTACGTTCCTAAGTAAACCAGGAGGCACGCAAAACATCGGGTGTAGGTATTAATTGGAATGTGTTGGTTTTCGATATACAAAACCTTAAGTTCAAACAAACACATACGACAACAAATTTCAACAAACAAATCTGAAGTTCAAACATCCTCTTTACCATCACGTGCAGAAAGAATATAGAGTGGTTGACTTCCGCTTCAATAGTAAAGCGTATTCTGCCATTTTTATTTGTCCATTCATGTAATTTACGAAACCTTCCAACCTTTTCAGTTCGTCCTCATTTCGTTGGAATAATAGGAAAACGTCATCAGCGAATCGGACATGGAAGAGTGGTCTGGATTCTGACAGGCATTCGCTAAGGGCTTCACCTGCAGGTGGTCCATATAAAGATCAGCTAGCACAACACTCACCGAGGAGCCCATGGGAACGCCGTAAGGCTGATGGTGGGTGTTGTTCGTTAATTTGAAACTGGTGCCATTCAGCAGAAGGCCGCAGAGTGTCTTTAAATCATCCACGCTGCAATTCCTTAACACGCTTTCAGATGTTCTCTATTCGTTCATGTTCTCCAAGATATTGGGTAGAACATTATTAGTATTCACATGGTGAAAAGAGCGGTGACGTCTAACGAAGCCATGAAGCAATCCTGATGTTCATGTTCTTTCAGTCTGTAGATGATTTCCTTTCTGCCTTTGACTCTATAAGCCGTCCCCTTGGTAGCGGGTTTCAGCAATAGATCCAGCTCTTTGGCAGTGTGCTATGTTACTGTTCCCGTAGCCGGTATGATAACGCACAACGGGTTGATCCGTCAGGTCTTACAATAACACAGGAATCAGTATTAGGCAGGATCCTTTGTACGACCTTTTTACTTTGCAGTAATATTCTCTATAGTGATTGTTACCCTGTCTACAGGTGAAGCTCGTAGAGGTGTAATTTTTTCATCTTTGAAATTGCAGAATTGTACAGTTCGCAATGCAACAAAGAGAGTAAAACAATGTTTCACTTTTTAATGAGCATAAATTCAACAGTAACTGATTATGATCAAGTTACAGTATATTTTTTGATCAATTGCCTTTTGCATGCGTGAAATTATATGTTATTGCAGCACATTTCCAATTTCAATTATACTGTTTCTTTCTTCTGCTTCTTTCTGTATGCGCTTTCGAAGCTTTATGCAATGGTTCTTCTGAATTGTCAGTAAACTTTGAGCTTTCTTGGGCTAATCATCTTCCTCCTGTAGGTCTTCTTCTTCTGGTGGCCTAAGCACTCTGATAGTCTGGTCAACGATTTGTTTCATCTTACGAGCTCGATTTGTAGGTGAAACGTCTTCTTCCTAAAAAATTGCTTTAACGACAGCAATAAAAATAAGTTTGCACCTCGCTGAACAATTTTTCTTCTTCTTCTTTAGCTGGAGGCAACAGCGAGTACTTCGCAAGAAAGAAGCCTACGTATGGAAGGAAACAACTACACCATAGAGCGAACATAAACCTCATTCCCTCGCCCACTGCGTCTGAGGTGGCTAAAATTCGCAGTGTGCTCTCCGCCACATATACCTCATTACGGTAGCAGCTGTAGCGGCCACTGTCCACGGACAGCGTCGGACTGATCAGTAAACGTCCTTCTTTGTTCATCGTTATGCGTCTCTCGTCGTAAGTGCCATTCTCCAGTATGTGAGCGTTCCGTTGCCACTCGAGGTCGGCCAAGTTTGACGTATCGTCGGTGTCTTCCGCCGGACAAGTCAAGATGATGGTTCCTCCTTCCATTTGCACAACCTCGTTGCCGAAGTTTTTCATGACAATCGACAGTTTTCGCTGTTGCTGCTTCCTGAACACCTTCGCGTATTTCTTGTACCTCAGTTCGGCAGTCATTGCAACTAATTTCTTTTTGTCCACCTTCTTCTCAGGCGACGTCTTCAGAAGCTTTGCTAAACGCCCCGGCGGAATCGTTACCCACTCGTCCTTCTTGGGCATTTCCTGACATTCGGTGGCACAGGTATAAAGCAAAAGAAACAGGCAAAACAAGAGTGTCATGATTTCAGCACAGGTCGTATGAGCGATCTGTGCAACCACCTGTTTCAAAACCTTGACCTCGTGCTATACCGGCGGTGGCACTTAACACAGTTTGGTCTGTAAAACTACTTTGGTTTAAAAGTTTTACTTTAAACTATGTTGATACAGGCAATTTGCTGTTGTAAACGTTATTTCCTCTGAAAACGGCAACCTCTAAACTCACTTTGCGTATTGAAGAGTCCAGCAGTAGTGATTGATGATACTGGAGCAGGTGCCGACTTTTATGACCGTCTGATGATTCCAGTTACCAATACGGTTTTGAAAATTGGCAATTACTGCCAAAATTATTTAACAAGCATAGGGCGGCATCTTTCTTCATGTAGCCTACGCGCTGAACGGCAATCGACCCGTGGTCAAGAAAACCTGAAGATCTAAACTAATGTACGATAGGTAATATTAAAAAATAAACGAAATTCGGGATTTAAACGTTGCCAGAATTTCAGAATTTCTGAACGAGAAGTTACCGTTCTACATCGCAACGATCACAAGTGTCCCCTTGAAGGGACCATTCTGGAGCGGCATGCTGGAAGATAGCTATGTAGAGGATGGTCGTGATGGGTAAATATCATCGTTGCAAGTTTAGTAGCCCAATTTACATCCATGATCCTGCATGCATCAAATAGGCATAGACAGATAAATGTAGATGTATCAGATCTTCAATCTCCCAGCGATTCCTCTCGAAAAAGGCCTCAGCAAGCGTCTGACAGGTCAGTTTGCTACAGTATGTCGAATAGTAACGGAATTATGCCATCCTGTGCGAAAAGTTTAGACGGCTTTAAGTTCTGGCTTCTTCTTGGAACGAAAGCACTCTCGTGAAGGTAGGACTGGTTGCGTGTCAAACCGGGGTGTCTGTTCGTGTGGCGGTCAGATTCATCATCCGCGTATTTCGTACGTTTCATGAACGGATTTACTCTGCAATCGCTCGCATACAACACAAACGCTATTGGCGGAACGACATGGCCCAGAAGAGTAACAAATCTAGAGCATCGCTGCCCAATGCGAACGAACCTCTGCAGGATATTACAGCAAGTACATAGGAAGTGAAAAATCTTATGTTCAGCTGCCGTCCATACCCTAAGGTGGATCAGATTGTTGGGGGGGGGCCTAAATGTCGGCACTGCTCAAGTCTGAGAATGCTAACATTAGCACGTCACGGCTGTCGTCGAGATTTCTTGAGATACAGTGGCCACGGATCGTAATTCCATTGGCTGTTAAATTATCAAGACAGAACTTACGCGTAGAAGAACATATGTTGCGCATGAATCTAAAATCATAAACCGGAGTCGACAATTATCCGCCGCACATGCGCCCAAAATTTGTTGTGCAGGGTATTTCCTTAATGGGGACAGATGAACGACTTCTGCCGAAGGGAAATGCCTGTCTTGAATGAAAACCTGAGGGTTACAGTTTCAGGTTATTTCATAACTGCACAGGTCCTCGCCGCGTCACATTGCGATCATCAGGTTTGGCAAAAATTTTTAGCGAGTCTCGTCAGTAGATGATTCTTGCACCTTCTGGTTGCATTTGAAGATACGTCAGCAAAGAACCGACCATTTTATCAGTAATTCTTGCTTGGTTTGAAAATGATATGTTCTGATATGCTAAAGATGAAAATGGTAATTTCATGTCGTTCTCAAATCCCTGTCGGTACCTGTTGATGAGACGGCCGCGTTGCACCCCGGGCAGGTTGCTCGGGGGTTCTCGCCGATATCACCCCAAACGTCTTGTCCGTTTATTTCATGCATCTCCTCTATCGCTCTCCATGCCCCCTGTGCCTGCGTGTGGTATCGCATATGACTGTTGGCTCCCCTGCTGAACTGTAACACTGAGGATAGCACATTTGAGTCAAAGGTAGGTAAAAGTATCGAACTCGTATTTTCATGCTCGTCGACGGCACCTGTCGCAACTGAACTGAGTAAGCAATGGACAGTTGTTCAAACTTACAGCAGATTTGTTGGAGATCGACTGTATTTTTGGCAGACACAATTCACCGGGCTCTAATACTGCCCTTGTGTTAATAACGGACCAATTTGGCAAAAGGAATACTTTCATCTTCTGCCAAGCGTTTGCAGCCGGCTGTGTTAGACGTAATGTTCCCATGACAGGTAAGGCCCTCGTAATTGATGATGTAACCTGGTCATAAAAATTCCAATCGTAATTGTACGTGACGGACGGCATCGCTCAGCCATGACAGTTTCGCATGGTAACCTCTTCAAACGCCCGCTGGCATGAACCGGATATAAAGCGAACGGAGGTGCGTTGGATGGCCATGACAGGTTCTGCAGTTCGTCACCGTTTGATTGATGGTCTAACGTCAGTTACCAGTTCATAGTCATCGATCTGACCGACTACTGATCCTGACAACACCAGATGTGAAGTCTGCCATTCAGGAATCATGTATAAAACAGCCATTCTCTGTTAAATAAATGGATACGATTCTGATCGTGTAAAGTATATGTAATGAAGTATGGAAAATGAGGTTCTCTGGTTGGGCAGTAGTGTGTTTCATCCTCATATGATTACAAGTCTCAGGACAGCTGGCTGGATGGATCCTCACCTCGTGGAACTCGATAGAAATGGACCGAACTCTTTCCGTAACATTTCATTGTGCAAAACTACACCTTTTTGGCCCTTTGCTTAAGACTCGATGTCACCAGCTTTGTGTACTTTAACAAAAGTATGGCTCCTGACGTTACACAATGAAAGCAGCAGAAATAAAAAGACGGTATGAGTCAGCTATTACCGTAATCAGTGAACTGTCGAGTATCATATTGGGCCATTATCGCTAGCCACGCCTACGAAGAAAATGCTGTTCGATTTAAAACTCGTACACATGACTCTCCACGGCGCTGCACGCTGATCTGCTACCGAAGCCGATGAGGGCAAATTGGTGATAATCCAAAATAGGGCGATGAATCTGAAATGCAAGGTCTACTTCCGGAATCACGCCTTGAACGCACAAATTTAACAACGAACCAGAATCACACTCGTAATTCCTGTCTTCTGTAATACCAAGAAATGAGGGGCCGGTCATGCGGCTCACGTGACAGACAGCTCGTGGACATTAAAATATACAAATTGGGTCACATGGGACCACAAACGTCCAATCGGTTGTTCAAGAACACGTTGGGACGATCTAATGGTCATGTTACCTGAGGAAAAAGGACATTTTCGAGGTTATTAAAGAAAATCAGTATGACACCTGCATGTCGTTTCTCCATAATGGCACTGTTCCTCTTCTTCCAAAAATCTGAACGGTTTTTTAAGGAGACAAATCAACAGATCCGTACCAAACACCTTCAGGTAGAATCAAACCTGGCGTAGTTACCCTCCAATTTCTGGGATGACGACCTCTGTTTTGGTTCCGGCATAGTAGCTATTTTTGATACGTGTTTTTTAATGTTTTTTTGTAAAAGGCAGTGTTTCGCCAATGTGGGGATGAGTTTTTAACGACAAACGAACGCTAGTTCAATAAGAATGTATTTACTGATTTTCAGCCCATTATCAGTCTTATGTGAGGTACATGTTAATTTTCCATGTCGCTTTGTACCTGAGGTTGAAGTGATTGGTGGCCATATTGAGGTGACATGGACTACAGTAGACAGTTTGCTACAACCCTGCCTAAGATTAATCTGTATCAATTAGTAAAGTGAGTGAAGAGGTCAGATTTAATTGCGAACTGTCTTACTAGTTTATCTGTGCAATGCCGGTCACTTACGCATAATTTTCTTCTCTACACCCTTCTGCCCGTTGGAAGGTTTTGAAAGTCCAGATGATGCTGAGACAGCCTCGGCCCCA